ATTTTGTCGGTGAAATAAGTTTCGGTGAAATAAACTGTCGGTGAAATGGAAAATAAATGTCGGTGAAATAACATGTCTGTGAATTATTGTCGGTGAAATGTTATTTCTACGAAACGAGCGTCGGTGAAGTGAGCTGAACCGTAATCAAAATATTCTTGATTCAAATTGCTTCAGGATGGAATGACATTTTCCTTCTCATCATGATACATCTATAAAAAGTTGAATTTTAAATTTTCTGACATCCGTTAACATGAATTTAATCCAAAATAATTGACTCAATTGAAAATCCAGGTTACTGAATATTGGGTACATTTTAGGGGGCTTGTCTCCCGGTATGTACCTGATATTCATTGATTCAACCCGTGAATATTGTCTAAAGCCAGAAATGTGTGCCATTGGATCAATTCTTGTCAATACATCCAGGGGCGATTGCTAACAACATATCAATTCCAAGCGGCTATATTTGAGTTCTTGTTATTCAATGAATATCTATAAATACAAAATATTCACAGAGGTAATAAAATTACATGGTCACAGGCTATATTGACTTCTTGCTATATGTTTTAGTTGTGAAATTTTACATTTTTTAATTGTTTAATAAATATATACTGTATAGTATAGTATCTTGAAAGATTAAGACTCAATATTCTGATGATTATTAGATTTAGAGAATCAATCAGTTTCAAAATATCTCCATTGATCATATTCTCAAATGTAATTCTTTTACATTTGTGATGAACATATTATTTGCTACATTGTTTAATCGAAAGCAAAATACTTACAGTATTATACAAGTTATTGAGTATCATTGTTAGATAATTTGAAGTCGTTAGGTCATTTAACATGCAATAATTTTTACTGATTAATTAATAAACGTTGCTAAATATAAATGTCAATTTAAGTATATCGCATAATTTTTGTACAATTAGATGAACTTTAATAATGCATTTTTGATCAACGAAAAATTTTCCATAGACACTTTAAAATGCCAAAAAACATCGGGGTGTTTATTCACAAGCTCTTTAAAATCGATAACATATTGATTCTGTAATTCTGTAATTGATCAATCTTTGTGATCACCGGGTAATGCAATTTATTTATGGAACATAAATTTCATTATAGAGGTATTTATTTACTGTAAGTGCTTTATTTCTGAGTTTTACGGTACCGTATAGGCGCGTGATAACGCACATGGGCGTTATTTCGAAAATTTCATTTTTTTGAAAATCGCCAAAATAACGCCCATGCGCGTTCCGAAATAACGCGCCCACATATAGTCTCAGATAAGCTTTTAACAGTTGTAACTTTTTTCTTCAAAATTAGGATAATTATTCGAATTATCGCGTTCAAAATAACGCGCCCCTGCGCGTTGTTACGCGCCTATACGGTAATTAAAATTGCAAAGAAAATTTTATGCCATGCATGAATTATTGCTGCAAACAACTTTTTAGTGGATTTATATTAAAACGTTGTTTGATAATCAATTTTGATAGCTATAAAGGTATTAACAGGAGGAACTGTTAGTGTTACACATTAATTAAATTGGTGAGGGATTATATTCATCGCAATTGAGATTAATATAAATAATTTTAATTTTAATAATCACACCATGTGTGGGATTCACTTTGGATCGGGTACAGTTCCTCCTGTTTAAGGTATTATATGGGATCTTCATCACTTCACTGACACTCTTTTTGTAGACTCAACACTTCATCGATAATCAATTCGCAGACAAGTTTATTTCATCAATAATTTGTTTTGTTGACAAGCTCATTTCGTAGACAGTTTTTTCACCGATAACTCTAGAAAGTTTTTTCTTATAAATTACATTAATCCTAACTCCAGTTCTAAACTAAACCAATGATAATGACTAAAATTACATTGTCTGTGAAATTAGCTTTCAGTGAAAAAACTGTACGAATGAGCTTGTTGGTAAAATAAACTGTTTATGATGTGAAATTATCTATGAATTGATTGTCTATCTATAAAAGAAGCGTCAGTGAAGTGAGCGGAACCGATTAGAGGATTAGATTTCATATTATAGGTGGTTTAAGGAAATAATTAGACCGCTTTTTATTAATAATGTCAAAGAAACTAAATCATTTTTCATAAGATCATAAGCGTCTTGAATTTAACCTGAGTAGCTTCATAACACAGGATACTTAAGAAGCATCCTTTGGCGATTCGTCAAATGAATCCCAAATTCTCAGACAAATTTTACAAAATTCTGCCACGCAAAGCTCAGAACAAATAATCATTTTGAACCATAATACATATATACATATCATGTTGAAAGTTTATTCAATTAAACTTCGAAAATATTACAATGTAAAAGAGCTAAGTATTTAAGAAAAATATCTAAGAAAAATTTACATGAAATTGTGCTTTAAATTTATCTATGGGTTTTTACAGTAATTGGAGAAGCATCAACTGAACTGTTATTCGTTGGGGGTATATATTTTGTTGGGAGGCCATGCTTAACAATGTAATTATTTATTTGTATAAGCATTTAACACGACCCAATTTGTAAAAAATCATTAATATATTATCATGTATAATAAAAGAATTGCAATTTAAAAATATACTTACTCTAAATTTTAGTAGAATAGTTATGATATCTTTTAATAAATACAATTGTGTTGGTGTATCTGGCAATGTAAATGAAAAATCTCATCTACAAGATAGGCCGAATCAAAATATTTCATAGTATAAAAAACAAAATGCCTCCCTATAAAAAATAGCGCCTAAAAATATAATAAATTTTTTTGAAATAACAAATATATAAAAATTTTGACTTACTATCGACTATAATTCTGAATGTTTCAAGTTTTTGCTTGAGTTCTTCATAATATACACCCTTTTCGTGCAAAATTTCTTCCAAATAAGAAAATGCCAAACACATCGATATTCAAAAATTATAAATTCTAAATTATTTCATATAATGTATGTGTAATGCATGATGCTTTAATATTACCTTCCCTATAAAAAAAGTTTGCACAGTTATTGTAGGCATTGTCCAACAAAATGTCCGGAACGGAGTTGATTTTTCGAACAGGGTTTATGTTTGTACTGTTTTCATACCGATGTTTGTATGGGATGTAAAAAATAAAAGATTTTTGATCGAAATTATCATATAAAAAACGTATAAAAAACGCATTCATCCAATAAACATCCTTTAAATGTTCGAAATGGATCGATTTTTCCGGACAAAAAAATTGAATAATTTCAGAACTTTCCGAACAATTCCAAGAGATTTTTTTTTATAGGGCTTTTAAAACCTTATTAAGATCATTAATATTTTTTCTATAGTTTTCAATTATAGCATTTCCAATGACTTCAAGAAAGCCCGTTTGTATTTCAGTACCATTAATAATAGCCTTCAGCCAACCAATAGATCTTTGTTTGTCTGGGTGTTTAGATGAATCTTTTAGAACGGTTCGATTCATATTTTCTACTTCTCCTCTATAAAATATAATGCATAACTTTTTAGAGATTACTCATATGGTATTACCTAATTCTGATTATGATTTCCTTGTAATTACTTACGTTGCTAATCGAATAATATTATTCAGATCAAGAAATATTTCTTTACAAAGTAAATTTACAAACCAACTTCTATATTGATATTCACTGCTTTCTTCATCATTCAATACATGTTTTGAAAGTTAAAAGCAAGTTATACTATAATATAAGAAATTAATAAATTACAGATAGTATATATTATAGAGTTGTTAGTGAAACTAAATTGAGCTAATGAAACTTGTGCTATCTAAAATTTGATTGACTATAATAGTAAACAGCAATCAGATTTATATAATCACCAGTTTTACAGCTCAATTTAGTTTCACCAACAACTCTAATATATTAACAATTAAGCATTAATTAAATACCAAGAACTCACAATTTTTGATATACTGCATATTGTCAACCCATTTTAGACAGCCAATTTCTATGGAACCTGTAATTATTTTGATAGCTAGGTACTATAAACACTGCATCAAGGTCAACATAGTGATTTTCTGTAGCCTTCTTTAGTGATTCGTCATATTCTTTTAAAATGGGTTCAACTTTGTCTATAGGAAATATTGCTTCTGCCTAATCTCATCATTTTCCTAAAATATAATATTATCTCATTATAAATTGAAATGCAGCCAGATATTCAAATAAAAAAATAATTACTTTACTAAATACGTTTTTGAGTACTTTCCATTCATAATTGCTAAATTCAGTGTATAATATCTCTTTTGTTGTATTCTAGGAGAAAGTTTATACCATATCGTGCAATTCCTCCAACACTCGAAAGATTTCTTATTGTTGCACTATTTATAGTCTGGAAAAAATTTTAAACCAATTTCAATATAATAATGTTAAACAAAAAATATTAGCAAAAGTAAATACTCTTAATGATTATAGTTACATTGTTACAATATTCTCAGATAATCTGGCTTTCTTTGACGAATTTTTCATTCATCTGTAATTCTACATTCTCATACTGATAATTTCGCCAAAAATGTGTTATTCATGTTTTCTACCCTCAACTAAAAAAAAAATTAATTTTTACTAAGTTAAATTATTGGCAAATCTATAATGTGAAAATGGATTCGCATTTTACCTAGCCCAATATAATTTAAACTTTTACTTGATACATACTATGAAGATATCTACTTATGCGAAGCCGGAGAAGAGTGTTCGTGTTCACAGTGGCCATGATGAGATTTCAATTCTCTAATTTTGCCCATTAAAAATGCATATCCAAGTGAATTTGATATGTGTTTTAGAAAATTATCATTTGTTAAGGAAGATTCATAACTGACCTTATCCAAACCAATAGACCTTAACCCGTAACTTTGAGTTTAAAAATAATTTAAACATACACTTGTATAGATTTGAAAGTTTAAAAGATATCTCTATAAAATATTGTAAAGTAATTAGTATTTTATAATTGCACTCACATTCCTATAAAAAAAGTTTGTTTTTCCTTATTTAATTTTGTCATATTTTATACCTATAGCAACTCCATTCCGACACTTTTTGAATAATATCGACACAATTAAACAAAGGCAGAAAAACTTTTTTTTTAGTGTACCTAGAAATTAAAAATTTAACAATATACTTACTTTTTCAACCCTTTTATACTGAATTTTTCTTAGCACAATTTCTCATTTCTGCAGTGTACGTTAAGTTTCTTGCGATGTGCTCCAAACATCTTAGATATAATGAGTTGCATGATCGCTATCCTTTAAGAGTCTTTGTTGTCCAGGTGTTTCAAAAAATTATGCCAACTCCATCGATTGGGTGGCGCAATAAAGAAATATTCCAACTACTATCGGTATATGACTACCAAGTACGTAGCTACTAGATGTTTGAAGACTAGATCGAAATGAAAAGGAAGTGCAAATAATTTTGTTAAATAATACGTCTTTAAAAAAAAAAAAAAAAGAAATAATATAAACAACAAGGAATACTAATATAAACAACGAGAAATCTTATAAACAACGAATATTTATATATCAATATAAAAAGAAATAATACGTACTGTATTGACAGTTGTTTTGATTCATTGTTGATTGATTCTGGATAATCGATGTAAGTTGCACAAAACTCTTTTTAAGTAATACGTACAACAACAATCCCTAATTGTCCGCATGCATGACTATGGCTGTAAACCAAACCCGGTAATTTGGGACTTAGTAGAATCCCAAAGGTTTTTACTAGATTCTACAATTGTGTCGTAACCCAAACTATATTTGGGACAAGTCGACCAAATCCCAAATAGGATATCACATGATGTGAATATGATTGGTAGATTACGAGATTATCATTAATAAGATCGTTCGTTGGCTCAATTTTTATTCATGTATTCTATTCATGACCTCTGGTAGGATTTAGAAGCATACTTAACAGAAGTTAAAATGCCACTCTATACAGAGAAATTACATTTCGGGAGGTAATTTTACTGTTCTTTAAATTATTTGAGTGCTGCTAAATTGAAACCCGAAAGTGAATTTCAAGTTCTCATTCTTGGCGAACTGATCATATTTATAATTATAGTTTTCAGGGTTAAGTTCTCTATGGCGAAAACTTAAAATATTAACTTCCTGGTTTTAACTTGGCAGCATTCGTATTAGGTTTAAATTTGAACATTAGCTAACATATTGAGGTTCTGATTCTATATTTAAGGTCCTTTTCACAATTGGAAGCGAAAGAATATATAGCTTAATTTGTGTTTTATTGGGCAGAAGATTTGGTAAGGTCATATTGATGGTAGTTGTAATTTAATAGTAAAGACTATTCAAAGAGTTGTCATGAACAATTGAATTAAATTTTTGATATGGTAATAATTCAGAATACCATTTTTATTATTAATGTATAATTTATTGTATTTTATACAATAAAATGTAATAAAAATTTTTTTTAGAAGAGTAAGAAAAAATCAAACTCTAATAAACAACTTTTAGGACAGATTCTTGATAATAAATCACGATCCATCTCTGCAGACTATTGATAATAAACAAATGAATTGTTTACTAATCTGAATTTGATTTCGATAACGGCATAATCCATACCAGTATTTTTTGAAAAAAATAACCCCTATTTTGAAACAGCAGCGTTAGATGTCTTATTAGCATGTTTTATACTGGAGAACTGTTTTTTAATGATATTTAATGAATATCTTACGTGTATATCTTTCTTAATAACTAATAACCAACGTTGGATATTCTATATATATATATATATATATATATATTTTTTTTTTATTTATTTATTTTTTTTTAATGAATGATGTCTTACGTTCATATTTCGAACCTACAGTAATTCGTGATGATAACAATTGCAATATTAGAAAATGGTATGTAATATTTTTATTTATGATAATACAATTTCATAATATTTATAATAAATCATCATTAAAAAATTGAAATTCTCTTTCTACAATTGCTACAGGATCGAATTCCATATTACCACTTCTTTGTGTTGTACGATATAATTCTTCGGCATTACCTTGCCCACCAAAATTTGCATGTGAAAAATCAACTATTAGGCCGATTTCAAGTTTGTTATTATTTGATTGAGCAGATTCCAAAACATCTTCATCTTGTTCTAGTTCTATACTATTATTTTCCATATCAACATAAGTAGTTAAATCTAATACACTATCATATAGTTCACCTTCAGACAACTCTTTCCCATAATAATGAAGCTCATTTTTAAGGTTAGAAATATAAATGAATGAATTTGAGCCATAATTTCAATTTTTTCTGGAGACAAACATGTTCTTTAGGTGCCGTATAACCATCTTAAAATAGAGAAATTACGTTCACAACTTGTCTGCGACAGTACAACTGCAAAAATAGCTTTCACAAGATTCTGAAGATAGGGGTAATCATCCTCTATTACACCCCACCATAAACTGGGTGTTTTAGATGAATCGTAACCAAAGTCGAAAGGATAATCACCGTTTTTATAATTAATTAATTGTGTAGTAAGTATTCCACATGCAACATCATCATTGTGCATACTTTTATAGAATTTGGTAGCTATCTCACAAATTTGTCAGAACATTTCTTTATGTAGGCCAAGACCTATATATTAAATTAAAAATATAGTAAATAAATTAATACTGTAAATAAATAAATAAAATATTATCACTATTTAATAAAGTTTACTCAGGTTTTTTAATTGGCATCGTATACCTTTTTTATTTATACGTAGATTGACTTAATACATATAAAGTTAATCTATACTATAATAGCCAATAAAAAACCTGAAATTAAACTATTTCAAGATATATTTTTCTATAAAACTAGTTTTAAACTTGAAAGACAGTACAGTACCTCTATAACTCGGATGAAGAAGATAGACAAGCAAATATAGTTCAATTTCATATTCAGCATAATGTTTATTAAATATTTTGATAGCTGATTCACGAAAAATATTATTCGAAGGAATTCTGTTAATAGCCGCAGCTATCTTTACTATACTAACAAAGCAATTGGCAGTACATGCTTTCAGATTATGTATTGCTTCTTTGATAGGTTGGATTATAGATACAATTTGATGACAATTTGCATAAAATATATCGTCATCATCATTTAATAGTGAAATAATAGCTTGTTAACTAATTACATCATGATTTTTATCTAAAATCTAAATCAGAAAAAAAAAAAGTATAGTAATTAAAGCCAACTTTTATTTTGAGAAAATACAAAATTATTAACTATATATACCTTTTCAAAAACAGGCTTTAGTCTTACAATAGAAGACATAGTTCCAAAAATAGAAGCCTATCTGGTTTTAGCATACATTTCTAAGCCACTGCCACCTAATTTTATACTTTCAATACTATCACGAAGAAGTTGATTTGCTCTATATGATTTTTTAAAGAACTGAATGATTTGATTTGCTTGCTTTAAAACATGATCAACAGATCTAATTTTTACTATATCACTTGCAATAAGATTTAATGCATGAGCAATGCATCTGATATTCCAAATATGTGAATAATTATATGTAGTAATTTTACAAGCAACACGAATATTACTTCCATTATCTGTTACACATACTATAAATTTACTGGAGCCAATTTTATCAACAACATTGGAAATTTTAGAGGTGAGAAATTCACCTGTCTGTGCAATATTAGAAAAATCCAAAATTAAGTACAAATATTCTTTGTGATTAGAAGTAGAGACAATAAAATTATATAATGAGTCATTGGCGGGGGTCGACTATCCATCAAGTGCTATTAAAAATATATATTATTACAAAATTTATAAATACAAAAAAGGTTTATATTTTTAAATTTTTTTACCTAAAGTTAAGTTTTCTGCTTTGTTAAGTAACCTATCCATTCGTATTGTTATGCGGGCTGCCTCCTTATTAAGTATTTGTTCTGATAATGTAACCCTTCTAGGAGGAACCCACCCCGGCTTAAGTAGATAAAAAAGATCATGAACAAATAGATTATCAATTACAGAGAATGCAATTCCCACGCAAACAAAAGCTTTGAGTAAAGCTTTATTAATTTCATTAACTTTTTTACTTGATATAGGTTTATGATATGAACGTGAATTTGTTAATGATGATAATGTACTTTCATTATCACCGTCATTATTTCTTTTGTCATTTCGCTTTGCTACTTTAATCAAATAATAATGTCTTAAATTATCAGGAATATCGCCTTTGCAATGTAGGGCTAAATGGAACTCCATAGTTGTAGGCCTTTCATGTTTTCATTTTTCTTAAACACAGTACCGACATTGAGCACCATAGTGATCTTTACTACCAGATTCACCAGTATCGAAGTCTTCTCAAATAGGAACTTTTGGTTATCTACCTTTATTTTTTTGAAGACGTGTTTTACCTGCTTTCCGTTTGCCAAGCATTTTACTAGATTATAATGTTTCAAACACACTTTCAGGAAAGTCTTCCATATTAAACTTTTGTTAATTGCTTTATTACAAGGATGTTGAAAATCGATTTTATTAAAATTTTAAATTATTTATATATTTGAAGCAGCACTTACTTGTATTCTTTAACCAAAATAGTTTAGCTTATACTTTGATATAATTATATACTTAACAATTATCAAATCATAATTGTAACTATATACATTAAATGTTTCTTTCAAAATATAGTTAGATGAAAGTCAAAGATATTTTAAACAATCAGAAAGACCTTAATACGGCTATTAAAAAATAATCACTA